TTGCCCGAGCATTTGAGCTGGGTTTCGACGTGGTTCTTGTACAAGAACCTCTGTGGAATAAACAAAAGAACACAACAAAGGATCACCCAGGATATACCTATCATCTGCCTAACGGCGGCGAAAATTTTAGGCCGAGGGCTGTGACCTATACCCGGATAGACGATAAAAAGATATTGGCAACACAGATCTTTCCTTATGTTGTGTCCACAGGAGACTATTGCTGGGTAGAAGTGAACGGCATTACTTTTCTCAACGTCTACAAGGCACCCAATGACTCGACAGCTATCCAGCCACTAATCAACTGGATTCCACCGCCAAACTCCGTCGCTGCTGGGGACTTTAACTCGGTATATTGGGCTTGGCAACCTGGCGTGGAACGTCCTCATGGACAAGGAGAAATGATCGAGAAATGGGCAGACAAACACCATTTGATCTGTCATATTATTGGGGAGCCCACTCACCGAGCTGGAAACACGCTAGATCTAGTTTGGAGTAATGTCGACGGCGCCCGTGCTTGGGTAGATCGTGGTGGATGTGTCACCAGCGATCACTTCCCTATCCGAGGACAAATTCCAGTTCGCAACTCAGTGATGAGACCCGAAAAGGCAAAACTCCGAGTAACAAAGGATAAGCTACCCAGATACGCCAAGGTAATTGCACAGTGGGTCCGACCACCACCAGTTCTTGACACAATCGAGAGGGTCTAAGAGTATGCCGAGGAAATTTGTTTCCATCTCACTAATGCAATCAATGCATTAGGAACACGACCAAAAGCCCGCTGCGACAGATCTGCTCCGTGGTGGACCCCAGAGTGCAAGGCAGCCTTCGCCGAGTACAAAAGCGCGATAACCCCCATTCAACAGGTACTCAGCGCGAAAAAGCTCCGATCAGTTGTGAAGACCTCGAAAAAGGAGTTCAAAACCCAACAGGTCGAATCAATTACAACGCCGACTGATGTATTCAAGCTAATGAGAATGGATAACCCCAGATAGGCTAGTATCCCTCCGCCACTGAACCATAATGGGACATTGATAACAGATCCATTAAAACGGGCCACGATCCTTCGCGACTCCCTCCTGGCACGATTTCAGGCATCAGACGACTTGTCACCATGTACAGTCGCGAGCTGCAGTCGGATACCATGGGAAGAGGACGTAACAGATGAAGAAGTCCGAGCCTGCACCATTGGTTGCGGAAATACGGCCCCAGGAGCAGACGGAGTCTCCGTAAACCTGTTGGAGGCGTGTTGGAATACAATCGGGCCTTGGATTTCCCAACTGTTCCGAGCTTGCATTCTGCTTGGCACCCATCCAAAGTGTTTCAAATTAGCCGAGGTGGTCCTCCTTCAAAAGAACGATAGAGACCCAACGACAATCAAGGGTTGGAGACCAATCGCTCTTCTCTCATGCTTGGGAAAAGGATTAGAAATGCTCTTAGCTAAGCGGATGGCACACCTTGCGGTTATCCATGATGTAGTCGGCCAGCAACAGTTTGGTGCACTGCCGAAGCGCTCAGCAACGGATCTGGTCTCATGTGTGGTCCACGACATCGAAGAGGCAAATTCACAAGGATGGGCAGTGTCAGGAATTGAGGATAGAGCAGCACCCTCATATTCTTTCCCTACACTACATCTGAATACTCTCTCATCTTAGAGCGTTTACTAGGTTACAATGGTTGCTATGGGTTACAAATGAAGTAATAGAATAGCAGCAGGCGCACACCTTGAAGCCTTAGTTGCTCTGGTTACTATGATGTATATATGGGTTGGGTAGAGCCGATGTAGAGGGCCACGTCTTGTTTTTCCGTCTTCCATTGACCTTGTCTCTTGTCCTAGTTTCTCTTGTCCCTTGTCCTCAGTTATAGCTAGAATCCCGAATTAATACCTTAGTCTATGACAAATCTTGTCAGATATCACTCGCACTTCTAAGTTATCTATAAAACACAACCCCTAGTACCCTCGAGTTTGACAGGCAGCTACTTTTGTAACGTTGGACGTTCAAGGAGCATTCGACGCGGTACTCCATAATCGATTAGTAAGGAGGATGCAGGAGCAGGGATGGCCGGAGTCTATTCTCAAATGGACTAGCTCCTTCCTCGCCAATCGTACGGTTCAAGTGCGATACTCTGGGGGAGTCACTGCCAAGAGAGAGCTAGTGTGTGGAGTTCCACAGGGCTCACCGATCTCGCCATTTCTTTTCCTTCTGTATATGGCAGAGCCCATGCGAAGTGAAACCCCGGGTCTGAGGTTTAGCTACGCCGACGATATCGGTATCCTTGGATTTGGCCGGACGATTGCAGAGTCTGCAGCCGCAGCACAGGACGAGGTCAATAACCTACTAGACTGGGCTTGAAATAATGCTGTCGCTTTCGATACAGACAAGTCCGAAGTCGTACAATTCCCTGGACGATACCGCGAAACATCGATTGGAATTTATGTCAACGGAACTCTCATAGAACCGTCGCAAAATGTCCGCTGGCTTGGTGTGTACCTCGATCCTCGACTAAACTTCAAACACCACGTCACAACCTGGTGTGGCAAAGCGTTGAAAATTGCACAGCACATGCGTCGCTTCAATACAGCCTACCGAGGAGCCGCTCCTGGGGCGTTGGTTAAAGCGATCGACACATGTATTGTCCCAATCGCAACGTACGGGGCTGACGTCTGGTGGCCTGGCCTTAGACGCCCAACAGTACGAGGGATGGTGACACCGCCCACTGCCGGCCTATGTAGTATGATTGATAAGGCTGTCTTAATGAGTCTTAGGTCAGCACTACCGGTAATGAGAGCAACACCCAACGCTGTACTACATAGGGAAGGAGGAATACCAACCAGGAAAATCTTTCTCGAAGGAAACCGACTTCGCCTCTCTGCCAGAATGCAAACACTTGACGACCGCCATCCGCTCAGGATCCGTGCTGCAGTTTTCCCAAATGTCGGTACGCGAAAATATAAAAAGTACAATCGAAAATCTGCGCGTCTTGAAATTCAAATGTCACGGGCTCAGCGTGCTTATAGACAGCTACCAGAGGCAGAGGCCGCGGAACCTCTTGCCCCACCGTTTTATCAATCGCGGCCGGGTTCGAAGGTTGGTTCGAGAAAAGACCAAGTAGAAGCCTGTGAACTTTGGATCACTAATGTGCCAAAGTCAGAAATCTGTGCTTACTCGGACGGAGCATCGGAGGGAAAGGGACGCTCAGCTTGGGGGTTTGTCCTAAAGCTGGATGGGAAAGCTTTTCAAAAAGGAAGTGACATAAAGCACAGTGGAGAGGCTTTAGATGCAGAGATTACGGGGGTACAGGAAGCTCTTAAAGCAGCGTTGGGTCACTTAAGAGGGAAGGAGTACCTGGCGAAGGGAACGACGCAGTGTATTTATGTGTTGATGGATAGTCTACATGCGATAAATGCACTGAGCAAGGGCAGGTCCTCGACCAGCCACGAGGAAGTACGAAAGTTTCGCGAATTATCTGGGCTAGCTCAGGTAAGAATAACGTGGGTAGCAGGACACTCAGGAATACATGGAAATGAGGAAGCAGATGTAGCGGCCAAATCCGCCCTACGAACGCTTCCCAGCGTGAAAACTGAACCAGCAACCACCACGACAGCATTTTTACACCAAAAATTGCATCGACAGCGACAGACTTTGCTCGACAGCTGGCGGAATGAAACTTGCCCGTCACGGTATCGTGAGCTAGATCTGCTCATGCGCCCTCGTAAACCACCAGAACTGGGGCTTTCCAGGCTACAGTTACGACATCTCATTGCAGCCCGTACGGGCCACGGCAATTTTGCGGCGTACCATCGTCGCTTCAACAATCCGCACGCTATCACAGAGTGCATCTGTGGGGAGGAAACCACCCCTACCCACTTCATACATTGTCGACTCAACGCAAATATCACGCGTCGAATCAGAGGGTCATTGTCACACAATGCCTTCTTACATAAGCTACTCGGGCCTAAGTGATTCGATTGCTTCAAACAATTTGCGCAGGATGCCAATTGTTTTGGGTATTCTCTTGTGCATCCATCTCCTACTCTCAGTGGAGATCGAATATAACTCGTCAGGAAACTAAACCTGACAAAATGGGAATCGAGGCGAGGAGTATTGCTTCCCATTCTAAATTATTTGCAATTTATCTTTTTATTTTGTCAATTTTGGGAAAAGGAGTTCGCGTCGGCGCATATTTTTAACTTACTGCTGGTTTTGTGGTGGTTCATGCGGTGGAATCAAGCTGGGTATGTCTTAGATGTAGTTCTGGCTGTGAAAATCGGTCCTGTACTCAATGGATTTGGAGCTTTAGCTTAGGACTTGAATAAAACAACAACAACAGCTGCCACACTAATCAAATGTAATCCCCAGACCACACATTACAACACTCTATGATGTTAAAGACACTTATACTTTGGATTCCATTCGCAAATACCACTACGAGGTTAGTTCGCTTACACAAACAGTGGACCCTCCTCCGTAAGTACCCACCAAAGGAAATTTCAAACCCCTTGATTATCCAAGTGTTTAGCAAAGTTATACTAATATGAATCTCTCTCAGAGTTTATTGAATTGATTGTCTCTCCCATGAGGAATCTATCTAGGTACTATATACATCTTGAGTATCCTACTAATTCCAAATATAGACTGAATATTAGATTGCCAATACGAACTGCTCAAATCTCTGTTCCATACATAGGTCTAAGGTTGGCTGTTACATTATCTTGGGCAATAGAAGGAGTGAAACAACAAGGGAGTTGTGGGTATGAAATTGGCCATCCGTCTAGTTGCTAATTGTAACATTTGCATGACTAAGTTATTGCCCTTGATGCATCAGCCCAGTTTACTTGCTTGTAAACTACTCAACTTAAACATCATGAGACAACATTTAAACTTAGGGTAATCTGTTTGACACCAAGCATGAGGATCCTGAATTCCAAGTCTGAGCGAAACGCCAAGTCTCATGGCAAGCGAGCCGCCGAGTTTAAGGTCACATCAAGAATGCAACACTAGCATTCTTTGGCCACAATCTGGGCGGCTAAGCACCCCACTCCTCCCCTACTGTATTCTGGTAGTTTATTTTGCCACGTATTATTGATCCTTATATTATCTCAAGTTTAGAGGATTCCATGTATTTAAGGGGGAGTTTGAACATTAATAGAACTACAAGTTTACACCTAGTCTCAAGCTCTACACACACATAGATTGTCGTTGTCGGAGCCACGAGACATCGGTGAATCTCACAGTCAACATTTATCATTTTATTCTTACTGACGTGCACAATGAACCTCATGTATGCCTTCGTCATCCATGCCTACCAGCGCCGCGAGAAATATGGTTGTGTTTTGCCGGATTCGAACCAACGATCAACTGTCTCGAGTGAGTTATGTGTCCAAGCTATCTAGACTCTACTTGGAAGACTGGCCATGACGATGTACCACCGCACCATCCAGCCAAAGCGGTGTTTATAGTGTCGCCTGCACTCTCGCTACCGAAGACTTAGCACGCACAAAGCTCAATTTGTAAAAAATCTTGCCAAAATTCAAAATTACACGCCCGTCAAGAATGTATCCATCCTCTGCATCGTCTTATTAATTTGTCCTGATCCCTCTCACGTCCATCTCAAAGATCTATCTCCCAGATTTGTGCTCTACGCTTTACTTCCTCCGTCGGGGGGTAAATATCGGCATGGGCGTGTATCTGGCGACCAACTGAGACCAGAGGAGGGCAAGACTGAACACCTGTACGCCGTGTCCTCTACGAACCTGGGAGTGAAATATTCTCCCAGAGCCAAGTTCAGTCAATTTCGCAATATCAAAGAAGTTGGCCCACGAGGCAAAAATTTAAATTACTCCACCATGTCAATCGTTCACTCCCAAAGAGTCCGATTCTCAACTAAGCTTTATCAAGTCTACAAGTACGACCTAGTACATCCTCATCCCAATGACCATATCTCTCGTCGACTTTCTCTGGCCTCAATGGACCACCAAATACACGCCAACGCCGATATTTATACCCGCCGGAGGAAGCAAAGCGTGGCGCACAAATCTGGGAGATAGTTATTTGAGATGGACTTGAGAGGAATCAGGATAAGTCGACATGATGATACGAAGGAAGGATAAAACCTCGAAGGGCGTGAAATTCCGAATTTTGGCAAGGAGTTTTTCGAATTGGGCTTTGTGCGCGCCAAGACTTCGCTTGCGAGAGTGCAGTTGACACTATAAAAACAAGCAAACGATGGAAGGTGTTGTGGTCCGCCTCCTGGTGGTGTTCTCTGGTATAGTTTGAGTAGCCTGGGCACCTACTCCACTTGGGAAGGAGACACCTCAGATCACATATCGCGCGGAGAAAGGTTGAAAGATGATGGAGGCATGTCTGGATAACCCAGGGTTTTTGAGATGTTCCCCTGGGTGGGTATTCACGGATGAGGGTTGACTTGGGGTGAAGAAAAAGCCACCATAACTTCGCAGTGGTACTTGAAAATGAAATCCGAGGCATGAGTGCTCTTCTTGTAAATTGAGTCTTCTTTTCTGTACTTTTCTTTGATATAGTGTTATAGCTAGATAGCTGCATACGTAATCAAAATCTGATGCAAAAAAAAAAAGCTGAGACCAGAGAAAGTCGACGAGAGGTGTGGTCATTGGGATGAGGACGTACCTGGTCGTACTTGTAAACTTGATGAAGCTTAGTTGAGAATCGGACTCTTTGGGAGTGAACGATTGACATGGTGGAGTAATTTAAATTTTTGCCTCGTGGGCCAACTTCTTTCATATTGCGAAATTTGACTGAACTTGGCTCTGGGAGAATATTTCACTCCAAGGTTCGTAGAGGACACCGCGTACAGGTGTTCAGTCTTGCCCTCTATCTATTTTTTTTTTTTTTTGCATCAGATTTTAATTGCGTATGCAGCTATCTAGCTATGACACAATATCAAAGAAAAGTACAGAAAAGAAGACTCAATTTACAAGAAGAGCACTCATGCCTCGGATTTCATTTTCAAGTACCACTGCGAAGTTATGGTGGCTTTTTCTTCACCCCAAGTCAACCCTCATCCGTGAATACCCACCCAGGGGAACATCTCAAAAACCCTGGGTTATCCAGACATGCCTCCATCATCTTTCAACCTTTCTCCGCGCGATATGTGATCTGAGGTGTCTCCTTCCCAAGTGGAGTAGGTGCCCAGGCTACTCAAACTATACCAGAGAACACCACCAGGAGGCGGACCACAAAACCTTCCATCGTTTGCTTGTTTTTATAGTGTCAACTGCACTCTCGCAAGCGAAGTCTTGGCGCGCACAAAGCCCAATTCGAAAAACTCCTTGCCAAAATTCGGAATTTCACGCCCTTCGAGGTTTTATCCTTCCTTCGTATCATCATGTCGACTTATCCTGATTCCTCTCAAGTCCATCTCAAATAACTATCTCCCAGATTTGTGCGCCACGCTTTGCTTCCTCCGTCGGGTATAAATATCGGCGTGGGCGTGTATTTGGCGGTCAACTGAGGCCAGAGAAGGTCGAAGAGCGGTGTGGTCATCGGGATGAGGATGTACTTGGTCGTACTTGTAGACTTGATGAGACGAAGATAGGAGTCAAACTCGTTGGGAGCGAAACAACGACGTGGATAAGTAATTTGGATTTTTGCCTCGTGGGCCAACTTCTTTGATATTGCGAAATTTGACTGAACTTGGCTCTGGGAGAATATTTCACTCCCAGGTTCGTAGAGGACACCGCGTACAGGTGTTCAGTCTTGCCCTCCGCCCTCTATCTAATGGATGATGTGGAGGGTGATATTATTTGTATAGATTAATTCACTCATCTCGGTTGGTGAAGAGATTGTAGGGTAGATGAACAGCGTCTGTGCACCAGCCTTTTTTTTTTTTTTTTGCATCAGCCAGCCTTTCCATACACAGCAGCCCATCCACCATTCCCTTTTCTCCTAACAACTCAACCGAGCCAGCATAACAGTTATGAGCCATTTCGCTAAATATGTGGAGACGTCAATTGTAACCAATGCTATGGAATTGGGTGTCCCAGTCAAACTGACACAATTTACTAACTGTTTCCCCCCCGCTTTGGTATTGGTAAAATCCGGCATAAAAATGCCCTACAAAATTGATAATAATATAATTTTCGGCGTAACCTTTGACCACAATGTTTAGCGAGCTGAGTGTTCAAGAGAGGGATGAGATGTTCATACCAGTAGCTTGCGCGTAACTTTTTCCAATATAGTAAGCGTAAAACACTTCGTTGGGAAATGGGGCAAAGGTACAACTTTCCACTCCAGAGCCACCATTTTGGATTCCTTTATACGCCATTCTGGCAAATCTTTCTATTTGCCTCACGTTATAAAGTGTATTTGATTGACATGACATGCCAAATTTCGAGTTTAAAACAGGGAGTCTGGCTCCATCTTGAAAGATACCAAATTCATCAGTGATGTGAAGTGAAGCTGAAATAACGACGAGTAAGGCCGCGGTAGCAATAGATAAAAATTTCATTTTGTAGCAAGTCTACGCCGGTAAGCTTGCGGTCCGACGGCCTGGATGGGAGGGACTGTCAAATGTCGAGAAGTTGAGGATAGGAATGATGAATTATCTTTGATGGAAACGAATTGAGCATGCAGCTGGCGATAGTTTTATATGTAAAAGATTTCTGACGGCAGAGTTTTCACTGTTTACTTCTTCGCTAGCTCAATCTGAATGGGGTCATCCTCCCGGCACAGCCAGTCTCGGCAAGATTCTGCCCAAGGTTCCTAGGCAATCAGCGGCGAGTTTGTAATTAGCCATTAATACTACATTTGCCGATATTAATTCACTGAGAAATCTTGGCCAGGCATCCAGTTGTGCATTATCTATTTTCCTTTCATTATCCTGATTTAGCGCCTTATGGGCCCATCCAGATGTCTATGAACTCCAATATTTACATGGGAGGAAACCTTCTGATTATAGCGCCCAAACCTTCCGGTTTATCTTCTTGGTTTTTCTAGTTTATCCTTCAGGAAGCGCAGTATCATTGTAGTACCTCTATGTGAACCAATCACCTCATCTTTGCCGACCCCAAGCATTGCCTGACCTGCGTGCCCAGCCTTTCGAGCAGAAATAGATCGCAGGCAAAGTGGGGATCGTCACCTTCCAATGGCACCGGTGTAATCGCTATTTTTTTTGTTTTGCATCAGATTTGACTTAAGGATGCAGCTATCTAGCTATGACACAATATCAAAGAAAATTAAATAATGGATGAGTTACTGTAAAGGAAGAGCACTCATGCCTCGGATTGCATTTGCAAGTATCACTGCGAATTTATGCCGGCTTTTTCTTTACTCCAAGTCAACCTTCGTCCGTGATTACCCACCCAGGGGAAAGTCTCGAAAACCTTGAGTTATCCAGACATGCCTCCATCCATTAAATTTTCTCCTCACTGTGTAATCGCTCAGTATGCTCTGCATGTCTAGGATAGCCGAGAAGAATCGCAACCGAATCGAAGTCGAAAGCAAACATAAACTTCTCTGTAACCGATAACTTCTCTTCAATGTCGGTCTTGTCATTCTCACGGGAGTTCTCTATCTTAACCTCACCACACACCACCTCAACATAACTACCGATAAAGGCGTTACTCCAATTGTAAACATGATTTTGCCTCATTCATTACCGGCGAACTTCCGCTACAAATTTACGACACTGCGTAGACCCGCAAAGAGGAAGTCAAGTCGAAATATACAAAGCCTGGGTCATGGTATGTGTGGGACTGTTTCTCTAATGAGGCTACGCATCTCAAGGATCGATAGGCGACTGGGACCTGAAGAGAGATAAGGAAAAGTATCTCTTGTGGGAATGATATTTCCGATAGATTCGACGTGTTTTCGACTTTGGATCGTTTGTGGGCGCCAAAACCGAGATTTCGGCTAATTAGCCAAGAGGGCTTTAATTGTCAACGAGTCCACGCCACCTCTCAGTACCCCAGACGGCGCAGTGAAGTTGGCCTGACATAATGCACAGTAATCGAGAGCAGTTCAGACTTTTCTGAAATTTTTGTATTTTAAATTTGGCGCTACTTGGGAATGAAGAGCCGTAAAAACATGGAATGTAAAATGGTGCTAGTCTTGCTAGCCATATTCATGGCCACTCGTACATGGACTAGCCTCCCAACATATACAACAAGCGAGGAGTCGTGTCTTTCGCTTACATGTAATAGTTGGATTATATAGCTCTCTTGTACAAAGTGGATTTATTCAACTACTCTCCACTACAGTTTTCAGACTCTTCAATTTCCCAAATCGCGTCACTAGGTAATATTAAACAGAGGGCTAATAGCCTAAGCTTCTCTAACTCCCCCTCTAACACAGTACGAACTTGTCGAATATTTTGAGCTGGTTCGGAAGCTTTAGTAATTGAGACAGAAAGTATCTGGAAGAATAGCTCGCACAGGAGCTTTCAATTGAAGTAGATAAAAAGATGTAATTGTCTGTCTGTCTTCCTTCCTCTTTCTCTCGACTTATATATCTATACATATCTACTACCTGACATATGATGATAATATCTACAAATAGCTTCCTTACACCACAAGACACTATCCAAACATGTTGTAGCCAGGATATAGTCCTAAAACGACTCAATACCAGTCCACCACGTCTGTTACCCGGACGCCAAGTATTTTCCAGCTGAAAATTATCCAAAACGCCAAGGTTTTTCTGAGGCAATCATAAATTATGTCAGGCACCAGCTTGGCATATTATTCTGACAATAATGTTGCGATGATGTTAGAAGAATAAATTCTACATGAATCACGAGACATTAAGTCAGGAATACGAATCTCATCGGGTTCTGACCCTGGTCTGATAGACCTCCAGGACATAGTTGGAGGGATGCTAGAAAAGCAAAGTGTAAATTTCTCGAGGTACCCACAAGTCTACAGCGCCCAACTGTTCGAACTCTTCGAATGCCCCAGAAGGGTAAATATGTCCCCGGAGGTTGAGTGGAGTCGTGTGGGAGGTGTTGGAGGGCAAATACTACTAGATTGATATCCTTTGTCTGCCAGTAGAGGAGGCCTGTATGTCCCATATAGCCATAGACTCAACATGAAAGTAAATAAAATTGATTCAATCTTGATAGATACATTTAGAAATCCAAATACTTAAACGCTCCGAGTCTAGATTTCCAACAATGAGTACTTCACCAATCCTGAGCAAACTCTTGCCAATAAATTTACTTGAATTATAGGATATTTGTTCTCTTTTCTCTGTAGCAGTATTTTTGCATAAATAATATCCAATTGTCCTTTTGTTACGGTTTATTTTACTATATGTTTCTCTAATGCGTTGATGGTACTGCAGGGAATAGACCTGGAATGTGCGGCGTTAGTGTCTTGGCATGTAGATATTTTACTATAGGAGACACACGGAGGAAACAGGGAACAGAATAGACAATCAGACGATTATTACCGCAACCCATAAATGCTATTAAGTCCATTACAAGTGATCTAATACCTTTTTATAGAGCTCTAAACCCGAGGGATTAGGACTCAAGGCACGGGTGGTTGGAGATGGTAAGAGATAAGAGGAACGTGGACAGTAAGTGGAACCTATTATTGAGAAAGAAACTGTAAATTATGTGACTAATCTCTTTATTCTCCCAGCTTAGCTCATATCTTTGGTGATTCTGCCGCCTTTCTAACGATATGTCCCGGCTTCTTACTCCCATGAGTCATTAATTACCTATTGTAGGCTTTTATTCATACTGGTGCTAAAATTTATGCAGAATTGGCGTATGCGTTATCTTCACGGCTCTTCTTGGCTAAGGCGCGGGCAAAGTGTCGTTTGGAAAGGTTGAATTCAACGGCACGCTTCTTTGCTGCTGGGCTCTGTGTGACGGCTACGGAACCTCCAAATGGTCCTGCTGCAGCTGCATTTTGCATTCTAACAATGCACACGTTTTGAGCGTCGCCGACTGTTCCCGAGCAAGTCATACCTGCTGGCATCTGTACTTCTACCGGGAAATCCATCACAGCCGCGGCTGACAGTCCTCCTATACCGATTCCGGGTACGTTCTGGGTAACCTCGGCTGACTTGAATGCATCTGGGTCGGTTCCTCCCGATGTGGCGTCAATCATGGCTGTTAGGGGACCAGCCCCGTCCTGGTTAACTTGGTGATAAGTCATCTTGACTTTTCCGTCGTCTGAGCAAGTTGGCATTCCGCTGGCTGCTCCAACTCCAGCTGCAGCCTTGACACCAGTTTCCATTGTGCCCTTAGGGGTCTTGATTCCCCCATTGGCTGCACGCTCTCCAAGACTTCGACGAAGAACGTTGGCTGCGTGAATATCTCGTGCCGCTTTGGTCTCGGTAGTATTTCCAGCGCCACCCATGAACATAGCCATCATCTTGGCGGCATCGACGGGGCCACCGCCCTGAGTGCGGCCAAGCGCAGTAGCTTTGTTAGATCCCATCTCACGCTTGCGGATAATGGAGGTGTCAGCCTCTGATCCACATCGAGGACTGGCACAGTCGCGCGGAGTGCCATCAGCAACTATGGTAGAGCTGTTAGATGATCCTTCTCGGTAATATTGTGCGAGGTTAGAGATGAACTACATACCTGAGAGACCCGGCATAGTGACTCCATTGGCGCCTTCGACTGAGTCGAGGACCCCATGTGAGAGAACACTGGAGACGGTAAAGGCTGCGATAAGAGCGGATGAATATTGCATATTGTCGGTATATTTTAATATAAAGGGTTAAAAATTAGGAGAAGGTTTTAGAAGGTTTTGGTTTGGTAATTTGATATTAGAAATATATTAGCAGCACCGGGCTGGAATTAGAAAGATGCAAAAGACGATGAAGATAGTGATGAAGTCTTTGGTTGAGCACCGTTTCTTCATCTCTTATAGGCTTCATTGTAGTGAGTAAGAAGGACAAAGTCATGACGAAATCTTCGAACATGAGATCCCACCTGCAGCACCGCTGGAGTCAGGAAGGCCGTCGATGACGTTTGAGTTCCTTGCAGCTCCCCCCACGTACCCTACATTATAGGGCTAAAGCAGGGGCTGGAAGTGGGGCGACATGGGTTTGGCCGATAAGTTTCCAACTCTGTCGCGCGGTCACGACATGTCGTCCCATCGTCATGCCGTGACCGCGTCAGGGTCTTTGAAATACGCGACGAAGGCGAGACACGCTCGCAACTTACGACGTCCCTCCCCGTGCCCAACACTGTGCATGCATCTTCGTCCGCCTAGAATCTGTCTCACTGTAGGCAAGGATCTCCCCTTTGCAGGCATGCGCGATAAAGATATTACGCTCCGCTCACCCTAAAATCATCCCCGCTCCCGACGTCCGATGAAAGTGAAACCAGCGAAGTATTTGATGCCCCATGGTTGAGCTTCTTTAATAGGCAATATGCAATAACTGCAGTGCAGACGTGGAGCCGCATTGTGTCGGTATGATCAGCTCGCCTAAGCTGTATGGGTAACAAGGAGCAGCGATAATTTTAGTAGAAGATGGACACAGCGCAGAGTGGCCAGCATTAAAGAAGCTTTTTTCGCGTCCGTGATGCAAATTCAGCTATCCTTCCATGGAATATGACTAAAGCCGCTCGTACATGTTTGAGCAGACGAGGAGCTGAAGTGGAGTAGTGAATAGACCATGGCTAGCACTTCTATCGCGAAGAGTTACTCTCAATTGTTTAACATGTATTAGTTATTAATCTGTCGCAAGTAAAAAATGTTCTATATACGCGAAGGATGATTGTTTTGTCTTTAGAGATACCCATACTTTGGACTCTATCCCCTAATATCACCTTTTGGTCTGTTCGCTTACACTGAACAGTCGACCCTCCTGAGTAAATGTCTACAAAAGTAAAGTTTCAAAATGTAGTGATTATGAGCTTACGGTAGTTAGCGGGGTGAAGCTCCTGTTTAGCATTAAACGCAGTATGTAATAACTCATTGCACTGATTGTTGTGTGATGATGACTATGAGCATTTGTTGGAGAGAAGAATTTTTCAACGTACAATATTGAGGTGTCTGTGGACTTAATTGTACTCAACACATCTAACACTCCAACCAAACATTATCTCCATTCACCACAAATTATAACAGAAACACCGTTGGTCATCCAACCATCTCTGTATTATACAAACACATCACGTCTGCGAGGAACGAGATCGAGTTTTTCTAGGTTAGAATCAATCATGTCCTGTTTCAAGTCTAATATGTGTCCATGCTATCCAGATTCTACTTAGAAGACCGGCCTGGATGGTATACTACTACACTATATAACCATGGCAGTATTTATAGTGTCGCCTTCTCTCCCGCATTCGGAGTCTTGACGCGCGTGATGCTCGATTTGTAAAGCTCCTTGCCATAATTAAATATTTCACTATTTTCGAGATTGTATCCAAGATTATCGTAATCCTAACTACATGTCTTGAAATCTCTCACGTCCTTTCCAAAAACCTACCTCCCTAAATTGCCCTCTAAATCTTGTCCTCTCCTACTCGTATCAATGTTTTAAGGGCGTTTATCATGAGCCCGGCCAAATTGAGAGACTGAATCGACGAACGGTGTGGTCATATACAAAAGAACACATTTTGATGTACCCGAAGATTTAATAAGTCTTTAGTCAAAATCAATCTAATTGGATGTGAAATATTGTTGTAGTCGGAAGTCTTGAATGATTATATTGTGAGTCGATTTCATCGGTATTTCGAGAGTTGACTGGACTTGACTCCGAGAGAATTATCCACTAACATGTTCAAAGCGGACACCGTAGGTAGGGTTTTAGTCTACGTCTTTTAACTTACAGTTTCTAACGTGTTTGAAACGCCTCCATGCAAGCAAAAGCGCGTCTTAACACATCCAGCGCCTCTGGATGCACCATAAGATTCTTTTTTTCGAGGGGAATTCCGTTGGTTTCGATGGCACACAATTCGAGGAGGAATTGTGGGTTAAAATAATGGGTGGGCGGAGATTAGGAAAAATGATGACCAAAACGTTCGGGTTAAGAAATGTTTATCAGTATAGGGATCTGAAGTGGAACGGTAAATATTAAATTAAAATTTTAGATTATCCTGATTTGACGGCTCAAGGCCCATGCACATATTGTCGGAAGATAGGTATTGATTGTAGAATGACTCATCACACTTTTGGAACACTCACAATCATGTTTCATTCGCAGTTACCGCCCGAGGTCAAACCTGGCGGCACCTTGCCTTGTCCGTAAATCCCCATCATAGGGGCAAGTGTGAGAGACACTTGAGCATCCTTGTGCACTTTTGTCAACCTGCAAGTACCGTGGTGCCACGATTTCAAGTTTTTAGTGGATTTATATGAGGCGCATATTCGCTTCAGGGGCTGTACCCCTGTTAGCGCCAGTTTCGACAGGGTACATAATTCTTGTCCTGTATTTCGAGGCCTAAACTGAGGGCACAATTTGATTTCATGTCACCCTCAGTTTTATGCAAATCTAACCCGCTCTCTAATTCTTTCCCATTGCTTTGATGAGCGCCGACCGCTAAAAAATTACACAGCTCTTCTCACCTTGTGCTTCAGTTACAATAAGAATTAGATTTCTCAAATACAAAGTTATTTATTCAGAAGACACATGGCTTTACTCGATAGTAACCTTATTTAACAGATGAATCCACCTCAAACCCCACCTTCAACACCTCGAATCAAACAATTATCCAGAGATCAAAACATTTTAGTGAGAAGAAAAATTAGATATGAATAAAATATGAATTTAAAGAAAAATTAAGATTTGTGGGTTTCATGAGTCTGGCAAAAACCAGACGTAGATTGCCGCGCTACTAGGCATTTCTCGGGGATAAGTTAGTTATTCACTGCGCCACAGAACTGTCTCCCCCAAAAAGAGAAAAAGATCATCCTCAAGGCTGAAAGCAGATGATGTTGATCAGATTATATCTTGTGTTGAGTCTTCACCTGGAAACCGTCGCAAAACATTTCTGGAACTCGCCTCTAGCCCCTTTAGACATCTTGGTGTTAGCGAGCAGGTAATACAAAGAGAACTTAAAAAAAAAGGATACCAGCTACATGTGGCTCGTCTAAAGACTCCAGTATCCCAGAAAACTATGAAGACACGCAGAGAATGGGCCGAAGCTCATCTCAATTAGACATATGAAGACTGGACGTCAGTTTTATGGACAGACGAAACTTGGGTAGAGGATTGAAGACATTCTAGAAAATGGGTGACAAGAAGTGTACGTACATTCCTCAATAAGAAGATGGTAATTTGATGCTCTAACATTATGAGCTAGACTTCCCAAGAATACAACACTGATTGTGTTGGAGAAAAATCGAAGAGGGTCGGCTGAATGTTCTGGGGTTGCTTCGCAGGGCCAGAAAAAGGCCCTTGTTTGTTTTGGGAGAAGGAATGGGCTTCCATTAACTCCCAAAAATATTGCGAGAAGATAGTCCCTCTTATCGATGACATAGTCTCGATGAGACCTTGGCTTTCCGTAATGCAGGATAATGCTCCTGCCCACACAGCCGCAATTACAATGAAAGATACGAGCAAGAGGCTCATTCAACCGATTTTCTGGCCGGCCAACTCGCCTGATCTTAACCCAATTGAAGCTGTTTGGAATAAGATGATGGATTACATCAAGCGTCATCATCCGAATCTGGGTTGCGGAAAGCAGCGAACTCAAGATAGTCTTCGCAGGATTGTAAAGGAGGCTTGGGATTCCGTGTCTTTCGAAGATCTTTTGAGACTCATTCAGAGTATGCCAGCAAGATGTCAGGCTGTGGTAGATGCGGATGGGGGACCAATCAGATATTAAGGCCTGAAAATATTCCAGCCTCATGTTCAGATCTAAGGTCAGGACAAGACTGGCTCTATTTTGTAATTTGAAACCCTTTGAACTCTTGTAAATAAATTATAAAGTCAAATAGCAAAAATGCACAAATTTTATGCAGCCGATCATTATAAAAATTAGGTTTAGTACGATGGAAAGACCCACCGCAGACTATGGTGTCCAGATAAGAACTACCGTACAAAATTTTTCAAAAATTTGCACAAATACGGGGGCTAACTCCAATATGGAAGGTGACTATGCCTAAGGCGTCTTAGTTTTCAAGCTAAAACCCCTGCCAAAGCCCCACTGCAAATTTAACACCGTGGCACCACGGCACAGTCTCTTATGGGGTGTAATAGTACAATTGTCTAAATGAATGGGGTTAGATCCCTGTATAAACTGCCTTAATTGGTATAATCTTCATGCAGGCCCATGTCTAGTTACTCGGCTAGTTATGCAAGCTAGGGATACCATCCATTGATAATCCGTGAAAGTCTAAATTTTGGGGATGGTTTTCAACTCTAAACGAAATGTACAATGGTCTTCATTTAAAATTAAAATTTTAAAAATCAATTAATATTATATAAAAATACACATTTCTTTCAAAATAATCGCTCTGTATTACAAAAGTCTACATCGAAGTCCTCAGTATTGCCCGCAACTAGAATGAAGGCGTGCTACATGATTTGTATTAGACTGCTCCATCCTAACACTTTGTATACCCTCCATTTTCCTTTATCACCGCTATTCATCTTTCGTGCATGTTAACCACACTTAACGGAGGCTTCTTCCGAGCAATGCATCTGCTGTAACCCATTTTATTTAGGGCATTTGATAGTTAATTCTCATTGCATCCCCAGTGGCTGAAGGGTCAGATTGCTAGTTCCAAGTAGCACA